AATGATCCGTTTACAGTAAAATAGTCATCAATCCCAAATACGGAATTGGAGCATATAAGAGCTAGGTATTGTGTTTCAATCTAGCTCGAACAGAGGAAAACAACATGGTAAAATCCAGAAGAGGCCAAACGAGATTCTCAGGAATTCAAATTTACCAGAAAAAAAGGAAACACTCTACAATACTATTCGAAGTTTTGAAATCCAGAAATGATCCGTTTGTTCACTAAAACCGGAATCGCATACAGAGATTTTCATTCAGTTAGCTCGAACGGATGGAGGAAATCAACATGAACAAATCCAAAAGACGCTAGTCAATCGAATTTCTCAGTAATTCAAATTATTCCCAGAAAATGCAGATCTAGAGGACGCCCAAACGAATATTCCGAAACAGAGACGTGAATCAGAGGTCGCACCTTGAAATTCACCAGATGAAACGGATCTCCAGAATAGTTGATTTTGAATCCGCTATCGTTACTCTTCCCAAACGAACCATCGCTGGACACAGCCGAGGCGCACGATCTCGATCCGGTAGATCCCAAAATCAAGCTCAAATTCGAGCTTCCTTCGTCACACCACTTGCTCACATAGCTCGATTCCTCTACAGATCCCGACCTATTATCACCCAAGACGATTATCAGCAACAAACGAGGAAGACGACACAGATCTGAGCCCGTGAGCCTCATAATTAGCGACGGGAATCGAAAACAGATTTGGTTGTGCGCGACCTCGTAGGTGAGAAGAACACTGGTCCATAGGAAAGCAGGAGAAGAGAAGAAGCAGCCGTTCTCTCAATCGCACAAGGAAACTCCGCCATCTCTTAAATTTTCTTCCGAAGTAAGTTTTCTCCGAGCTTCTGCAAATGGCGGGATGATACGATTCCCTTTTGAAATCCCACTCTCTCTCTCTTGCTCTCTCTACTTCTCAGTGAAGAGGGGAGCAATAGTTGGCGAGCCATTATGGTAAGCCCACTAAAGGCCCTAATTATGGCCCAATACATTATCTTAGACTCACTGTCACAGAGTCACTGTGATAGAGTAGAGAGATGCTATTATCTTCGAGAAAATTCTTCATGCCATGTCCTCTTGCATTCACCTTCTCCCTCCCGTCTCATTCCCGTTTCCATCTCAACCGCTTCCCTTTTCCCGCCACAAACCTCTTTATCTTCTACGCGCCACACCAACCTCAGCCACCGACGCCGTTCATGTCGCACCTTCGAAACTTGTCTCTCAGTCACGCTCTCCGGAGTGGTGGATTGATTCCCTCCGGTCGAAAGTTCGATCCAGTTTGCTCCGTGAAGCCGTCTTGACTTACGTTGACATGATCGTCTTGGGTATCAAACCGGACAATTTCGCCTTCCCTGCTTTGCTCAAGGCTGTAGCCGATCTCCAGGACATGGAATTGGGGAAACAGATTCACGCCCACGTGTATAAATTTGGGTACGGAGTCGATTCCGTGACTGTTGCCAACACTCTTGTGAATTTGTATAGAAAGTGTGGAGATTTCGGAGCTGTCTACAAGGTGTTCGACAGAATTTCCGAGAGAAACCAAGTCTCTTGGAATTCGATGATTTCTTCTCTGTGCAGTTTTGAGAAGTGGGAAATGTCGTTAGAGGCGTTTCGGTGTATGTTGGATGATAATGTGGAGCCTAGTTCGTTTACCTTGGTGAGTGTGGCTCTTGCTTGCTCGAATCTGCCTGTAACCGAGGGATTGATGATGGGTAAGCAGGTTCACGCCTATAGTTTGAGAAAAGGTTATTTGAATTCGTTTCTCATCAATACGTTAGTGGCTATGTATGGTAAACTGGGAAAGTTGGAATCTTCGAAAATCTTACTTGGAACTTTTGAAGGCCGTGACTTGGTCACATGGAACACTGTGTTGAGCTCGTTAAGTCAGAACGAGCAGTTTCTTGAAGCGTTGGGGTATTTGCGTGAAATGGTGCTCAAAGGTGTTGAACCAGATGGGTTCACTATTTCAAGTGTTCTTCCTGTTTGTTCACACTTGGAGATGCTACGCACCGGGAAAGAAATGCATGCCTATGCTTTGAAAAACGGCTGTTTGGATGAGAATTCTTTTGTTGGGAGTGCTTTGGTTGACATGTATTGCAATTGCAAGCAAATGTTGAGCGGTCGTCGAGTGTTTGATGGAATCTTTGATAGAAAGGTTGGTCTTTGGAATGCTATGATCGCTGGGTATGCTCAGAACGAGCATGACGAGGGAGCGTTGTCTCTGTTTATTGAAATGGAAGAAAGTGCAGGGCTTTTGGCTAACACAACCACAATGGCGAGTATCGTCCCTGCTTGTGTCCGTTCTAATGCATTCTCCAGAAAAGAAGCGATCCATGGTTTTGTTGTGAAAAGAGGCTTAGATGGAGACAGGTTTGTGCAGAATGCGTTGATGGATATGTATTCTAGGCTGGGGAAGGTCGATATCGCCGAGATGATATTCGGTAAAATGGAAGATAGAGATTTAGTTACATGGAACACGATGATTACTGGTTATGTATTCTCGGAATGCCATGAGGATGCGCTTCTTGTGCTACACAAGATGCAAAACCTTGAAAGAAGAGCAGGCGAGGGTGTTCGCCGAGCTGGTCTGAAACCTAATTCCATCACACTGATGACAATCCTCCCAAGCTGCGCTGCACTATCAGCATTAGCAAAGGGAAAAGAAATCCACGCTTACGCTATCAAGAACAATTTGGCAACCGATGTGGCTGTAGGAAGCGCTTTAGTTGACATGTACGCAAAATGTGGATGCCTACACATGTCGAGGAAAGTGTTTAATCAGATTCCAATGAAAAACGTTATAACTTGGAATGTGATTGTAATGGCTTATGGGATGCACGGAAACGGGCAAGACGCCATAGATCTGCTCAAAATGATGATGGTTCAGAAAGTAAAACCAAACGAGGTTACATTCATCTCAGTATTTGCAGCTTGTAGCCACTCAGGCATGGTGGATGAAGGATTAGAGATATTCTACGATATGAGAAGCAACTACGGTGTTGAACCTAGCTCAGATCATTACGCTTGTGTTGTAGATTTGCTTGGAAGGGCTGGTAGAGTTAAAGAAGCGTATGAGCTCATGAACGCGATGCCTCTTGGTTTTGACAAATCTGGAGCTTTGAGTAGCCTCCTCGGCGCTTGTCGGATTCACAATGAGCTAGAAATTGGAGAAGTTGTTGCTCAGAATCTCCTTCAGCTGGAACCAAATGTAGCTAGTCACTATGTGCTACTTGCTAACATTTATTCATCAGCAGGCCTCTGGGATAAAGCAACAGAGGTAAGGAGAAGAATGAAAGAGCAAGGTGTGAGAAAAGAACCTGGATGTAGCTGGATCGAGCATGGCGATGAAGTACATAAGTTCATAGCCGGTGACTCATCTCACCCGCAAAGCGAGAAGCTCCGTGAATATCTGGAGACCTTGTGGGAGAAAATGAGAAAAGAAGGATACGTCCCTGACACATCTTGTGTGCTTCACAATGTGGAAGAAGATGAGAAAGAGGTTTTGCTTTGTGGACACAGTGAGAAGCTAGCGATTGCGTTTGGGATACTTAACACATCGCCTGGTACGGTTATTAGGGTGGCTAAGAACCTCAGGGTTTGTAACGACTGTCATCTTGCTACGAAGTTTATATCGAAGATTGTTGATAGAGAAATCATCTTGAGAGATGTTAGGAGATTTCATCATTTCAAGAATGGAACTTGCTCCTGTGGAGACTATTGGTGAGAGAGAGACAAGGTACATAAATGTCTCTTCTTCCTTCACTGTATGTATGTAAATCTTGTAAGTGTTGATTCTTGTATTCTTCTGACTTAATACACAATTGAAGTTAAAGCATATGATCACACTCACGGAATCATTTACCTGCAGAATAATCTCTGATTTAACAATTTTGTCTGACAAAGAATTTGCTGTAAATTATGATAACTATGATTATTAAAAGCGATTTTATTTGGTTTCTATAGTTTATATGCGTTGATTCGTTTACCTGCCACAATTCCTCGAAATAACAAATGTTTTATCATTATTAAGAAAATAATTTAGATCATTAAACTCAACAATAAATAATTGGTTAGATAATTGACTGGGTCCCACAGATGAGCCAACATTACTCTTCAGTTGTTGTCTCTTTGTACAGAGAAGGATAGAGATCACTGATGTGGGCATTGTAGTTCAGTAATCAAACGTAAACAACAAACCAACGAAGAAATATCAAGAAGATTGACGAAGACATTCGACCTCACAGCTCAACGAACAAATTCCCGACAAGTTTGCATTGAATTGAAGCCTAAGCATTCTCCGATTCCGACAACAACCGATTTGCAGAGAGAGTCGCTGTTTTGTTTTCCCGGAAACGGAAATTACACCAACTCTTGGCTGTGAATTGATTTTGGTTATCTCTGATTGGCTTCTGGAGGGTTTTGGAGGTTTAGGGATTGAATCTGATGTTGGTTCAGGATCGTGTGGCTCCAAAGCCGCCAAAATCTCGGATCAAAGAACTCTCTCTTCACCAACACAGCCACCGATTCTCTGAACCCAAAAACCTCGATTTCTCGTCATGGTTTTCCGAAAATTTCTACAGAATCGGTCTCCTCTTCCTCTTCGTCGTCACCGCCGCTGCTTTCTTCTTCCTCTACAACACCACCGACACAGCTTCCCTCATTTGCTTCCAGTCCCAATCAACTCAATCGATCCAATCTCTCACTCGCCCTCAAATCAACTGGAACTCGATCCAAATCCTCTCTGACAAAACCTCCCCGTACGCCAACTTCCGCACCGAGAAATGGATCGTCGTGTCGGTGACGAATTACCCGACGGAGGAGCTCAAAGGTCTGACGAAGCTCAAAGGATGGCAACTCCTAGCGATCGGAAACTCTCAAACCCCTAAAGACTGGGAACTCAAAGGCTCGATTTTCCTATCTCTCGAAGCTCAAGCCGGTTTGAATTACCGGATCCTGGACCATCTCCCTTACGACTCATTCGTCCGGAAAACCGTCGGTTACTTGTTCGCGATCCAGCACGGCGCGAAGAAGATCTACGACGCGGACGATCGCGGCCAAGTGATCGACGGAGATCTCGGGAAACATTTCGACGTGGAGCTTGTAGGCGAGGACGCGAGGCAAGAGCCGATCTTGCAGTACAGCCACGAAAACCCGAACCGAACCGTGGTGAACCCGTACATCCATTTCGGTCAGCGATCGGTTTGGCCTAGAGGCTTGCCGTTAGAGAACGTAGGAGAGATCAACCGCGAGGAGTATTACACTGAGGTCTTCGGTGGCAAACAGTTTATACAGCAAGGCGTCTCCAACGGTTTACCGGATGTTGACTCTGTTTACTACTTCACGAGGAAGACGACTTTAGAGCCGTTCGATATCAGATTCGATGAGCATTCTCCTAAAGTGGCCTTGCCTCAAGGTATGATGGTGCCTTTGAATTCGTTTAACACGTTATACCATTCCTCTGCGTTTTGGGGTTTGATGCTTCCTGTCTCGGTTAGCTCCATGGCTTCTGATGTGATTAGAGGTTACTGGGGACAGAGGCTGTTATGGGAGCTTGGTGGTTACGTCGCTGTTTATCCGCCTACAGTTCACCGGTACGATCGCGTCGAAGCTTACCCTTTTGCAGAGGAGAAGGATCTCCACGTCAACGTGGGTCGTTTGATCAAGTTCTTGCTCGCTTGGAGATCGGATAAGCATAGGTTCTTCGAGACGATTCTTGATTTGAGCTTTGTTATGGCTGAGCAAGGGTTTTGGAATGAAGTGGATGTGAAGTTCACAGCTGCTTGGCTTCAGGATTTGCTTACTGTCGGGTACCAACAGCCTCGGTTGATGTCGCTTGAGCTGGATCGGCCGAGAGCAACGATAGGGCATGGAGACAGGAAAGAGTTTGTTCCGAGGAAGCTGCCTTCTGTTCACTTAGGAGTCGAGGAGATTGGCACGGTGAGCTCTGAGATTGGGGATTTGATCAAGTGGAGGAAGAGTTTCGGGAACATCGTGCTTGTTATGTTCTGTAAAGGACCTGTGGAGAGGACAGCTCTTGAGTGGAGACTACTTTACGGGAGAGTGTTCAAAACCGTTGTCATTTTGTCCTCTCGTAAAAACTCTGATCTTTACGTTGAAGAAGCTAATCTCGATCACATCTACAAGTAAAATATAAATCATCTCAGTTTCAACGTGTTCTTTCGAAATGTGTGAGATATCTACTGTAATTTGTGTGTTACTTGCTTGATGTGTTATTTCAGGTATTTACCGAAGATTTTTGATCGGTACAGTAGCGGAGATGGTTTTTTGTTCGTGGAAGACGATACAATACTGAATTACTGGAATTTAATACAAGCCGACAAAACTAAGCTCTGGACTACGGACAAGGTACCTTTGAAGTTAGCTCTGTATTTTCCGGTTTGGATTTGGTTTATTAACAGTGAAGTCGCTTTTCAGGTTAGCGAGTCATGGACAACGGTGAGATCAGCTGGGAATTCTGATTGGTATTCGGTTCAGGCGGAATTGGTTAAGAAAATTGTCGGTACAATGCCGGTTAATTTCCAAGTCAGTTACAAGGAGGCCACGATGAAGAGCCATGAGACAGTCTTGACGGTATGCAGCTCAGAAGTATTCTATGTCCCAAGACGGTTCGTTGCTGACTTCACCGATCTTGTGAATCTCGTGGGCGATATGGATTTGCATTACAAAGTGGCTTTGCCTATGTTCTTCCTGTCCATGGATTCGCCTCAGAATTTTGACCCGGTTCTAGGTTCCATGGTGTATAAGATGGAACCAGCTTTGTTGAACTCTTCATTGAGTTTTTATTCTGCGGAAACAGCTGCGGTTCATCCTTGGAGCATCTCGAGCGAACAAGATTTCATCAAATTGGTACAAAAAATGGCCAAAGGCGATCCTCTTTTGATGGAATTGGTATGAGTCAAAACAAAGAGTATAATAGTTGGTCGTTAGAAACAGAAATTTATTATCATGTATTATACGAAAATTGCTCCATCTATTCTTTCTTTTTTTTGTTTGCTTCTCTTTTCATCAAATTTTCTCCATGATTTCACATAATTTTCCTTCTTGGTGTTTCTAATTTTCTCGATTAAATCGGTTCAAAGATGAAAACAAAGATTGTATGTGAGTTTGAAACAAACAAAGATAGTTATTTTCTCTGTGTTAGGGCTCGGGAAAAAGGAGGTTTCTTCTAAAGTACGCAAAAAAACTTAAGCACCACATAAACACATGAAGGTCAGATTTCGAAGCTAGTTGTTGGGACGACACTAAGAGAAAATAACTATCTTTGTTATTTTTTTCTCGATTAAAATTGTTAAAAGATGAAAACAAACATTGTATGTGAGTTTGAAACAAACAAACTTGTAAGATTTCAAAATTATATGAAACCACAGTTAAAAGAATGACAAAGAACCACAAAGATAGTGTGTTAGGGCTCGGAAAAAAAAGAGGTTTCTTCTAAAGCACGCAAAAAAACTTAAGCACCACATAAACATGAAAGTCAGATTTCGAAGCTAGTTGTTGGGACGACACTAAATTTTGTAATCTTGTCTTATGGGATCAGTCTCACTCCTTGGTAAAAAAATTATGGATTCTGACTATTATCTTAATTTTTTAATGAATTCTGACTCTTATCTTAAGTATCACTTATCCTTTAAAGGGTTTATCTCTGAAGTAATATAATATGTTGGCCAACAAAGAAACAATATACTCAGTTTTGTGATTTCGGAATGGGGTCGACTGAAAATTTCATATGAAGAGGGATCCATTTAATTAAGAAAAAACAAAAAGGTAACATGAAACATATGTTCAAAGCTATAAAGAACAAAACAAACAAAATTAGAAAGAGGATCATAAGCCCAAACCACCCCGAATGGCTTAATAAGCTCAGGCTTTGTCTAGAGCTGCTCCAGTCCAGAGCCTTGGTGATTTCCCGCGAAGAAGGGAACAATAACGATAGTGATACTAACATTGTGATCTACCCTAGGATGAAAGATCTTGACTTGTATGTTTTAAAACTAGGGTTAATTGATATGTAGTTAGTTTTTGTTAGCGGCAAGGGCTCCCCGCTCATTCAAAGTTAAAAATGTGTGTATCATGTTTTGTAATAATCTGATCATTCAAAGTTAAAAATGAAAGAAATCGTACATATCTGATGTCAAATCTGTAATCTTATTACGAATCTGTGATTCAACATTATTAAAAACAAAGATGAAAAAGTGAATATTTGTGTACATTAAGACAATATTATTCGACGACAACATTGTCCCGGCTGCTTTGACTTCTTCAGCAGCGTTTCGAAACTCTAGAGGAATGAAGCCGATTTTAGAGTTTATCGAAAGGACAAACTCGTCTTTTCTGATAAGTTTCTATCCCTACAATATCCACCAGCTCAGCTACTCAGCTTCAATCGAGCTTACTAATTAGCGGCAAATTTGCCAAACTTGATGCTTAAGTTTTTCAAATTTTTAACTTTCAAGTTTCAAGTTGGTATATTTTTTATAAAAATTTGTTTTTGCAAGTTTGGCAAGTATGATGAACTTTCTTGTTTCTTAACAAAAAAAAAATACAAAATCAATTGTACATAGCGTGGGCACTCACCTAATATTTATAAAATCAAGACAATTACATTTGTCAACAAAAAAAAAACTGAGTGGCGAAACAATGCAAAATTATTTCTAATCTATCTGAAGCCGCGCGCACTATAACCATCCATTTTTGAATAAAAGGCCACTTTTTTTTTCTTAGTTTAGAGTGTTAAAGATTGTTGATTAAAAACATTGTCATCCCGGAAGATTTCGATAAATTTGGCCATTTTTTCATGAGATTGTATGAATATTACAACATGCTTCAAGATGTTTATGTTGTTGACTCGTTGAACTATTTTGTAGATGATCAAAAAGTTTTTCAAAACTTTAAAATATGTTCGCATGATGTGAATTACTGCACTTCTTACATATCGAACACTAATAATTACTGCACTCCAAAAGTTATTTTTTCCTTCTTTTTTTTTCCACTTCAGTTTTCCTCTTCTTGATTAAAAAGAAAAAGTTTTTTTCATGGGTGGGTTTGGGTTTTGGGTTTGATGCATCATATTCTTTCTTGTCACAGTCATGTGTTATTGTAATGATTGATTGATCACAAAACTGGTCCTTCTTCTTTCTTTTTGTTGTGGGGGCCTGGACAGTTGTGTGTGTGGTGGTTAGTAAATTCTTTGATTTGGATTTCACATCATTTTGATTGTTAAAGAACGATGTGTCTTCTTGTAAACTCAAATAAACTTCCACTGTATCGGTGTTTGATTCGTTTGACAATTGAGACACGCCATTTAGTTTTTTTCTTCCACCTCAATGTACATATATATTGCTAGCAACGCGGTTAAAGTTTTTAGCTCTATAATGTGTTTTGACTGTACAACACAAATAAAATGCAACTTAAATTCTCTTTCAGAATCATTAAGTGACCAGAAAAGAAAGGGATTAATAGAGCAACAACCGCATTTAAGTCTTACCTGGTCTCCACCAATTTGGTATCTTTTTTTTTTTTTACTGTACAACAAATCAAGGGAACAAAATTAGTTGGGAATCAGAATGATTACGCTTAACTGTATAGGAGGCCTCTATCAAGTCTTCTCTTGGAGAAAATGATTGTCACCTACCCACACAATCTACATATGTTTAGGACTCTTTTTTTTTGTAAAGTATCTTTGGAACTTTTCCCACGCGAATATTTAAGACTCTTGCTTTTGTTTAAGCAAGCTGCAAAAGTCACTAATCAGTAATCACACTAACTTGACAGTTTGAACCATAAACTACGTAAGAATAAAACAACAAGTTTCGAAATTGTTCTCTGTTATAACTCGTAGACATTACTCTTAGAAAGTTAAAATTGGAATCCACATCACCTCTACGGCTCTACGTATGATTTTTTTGGCTGAGAAAACCGACGATGACGTTTGAGACATACAGATCAGTTGCACGAACTCTCTGTTTAAGCTATAGGGCCCACACTTCAAAAAGAAAATAAAACCTGTATAACGAATGATATATTGACACGTGTACCGAAGAAAGAGTGTCGGTTCCTTGTCTTACTCTTTTTTATCATTTTATGATGAATTACACATATTTTTGTTTCTTTTTCTGAAGGATAATTCTTTTTAAGAAGTAGAAAGAAAAAAAAAAATCATTTCTGTAGAAATCAACATATTGGAAAACTACTGATTTTGTAGGAAAAATATTTTCATCCTCTGGATCATACTGCATAACATTACCCTTCATTGCCATAAAAGTATTTCTTTGAACAAAATTAGTTTTTTTCCGCAAACTAATCCAGAAATTCATTAACTGAATTCAATAGTTTGTCACTTGTCATTGTTTCACTATTAAAGACATAAAGCCGTGACTGCGCGCGCAACTTTAAAGCTCGAGCCTTTATTTTATAGTTAAAGTCAGTTTCGCTTCTTCTTTTCTTTAATAAGCTGATGCTTCTTCTTTCTTTAACGTAAGTTAGTTTTTCTCTTTTTGAAAATAAATTTTTAAGTTTTTAAAATAAAAATAGCCTAATGATGGAACTTGGAAGCACCACACACGCATGGCTCATGGCTGGTTTGCGATATAAGAAATCATTAGGCAACTCCAGTATCAGCTAAAAGAATTTTTCAATACAAATGTAATGTTATTTGTTACTTAGCTTGATTCCTGGATTTGAGACTTAAGATTACAACGAATATTTATGTTCAAAGTCGTCGAGATTGTCAAAAAAAGAAAAGTAAAGCAAAGCACGCTTGTGTTGGGTAAATGGGAATTCTTGGCTTCTAAATGAAGCCACTGTGTAAGTGTGTACAGAGAGAGTTAACTTCATACTCTCTTGATATAACCCCACCTTTTTATTTTAATACCCCTATTTTCTCCTTTGTTTTCTTTCTTTTGTTGTTGTTGATGATATCTTTTCACAACCTCACGCTTTTAATGTGTGTGGACATACAAAGATACTGACCTCATCTATATCCAAAACAATTATTGACTAAAGATGATAATGCTATATTTAATCTAAAGATGCGTGACTCGATATAAACTCGAAACTAATTCTACATAACCAAATTCTATTGTTTTCAGTAATTATGTACGTAGAGTTGTTGATTTGGTTACTCGTTTTCATTGTGAATAAATGATAAACGTTCCGTGGAGATTCACACCATTTCAATAATTCAAACAAGTGGTTTATTTTTAGAGTCCTTTCTATTTATAAACTTAATCAATTGGACGAGGTTTTGACCATTTCAATAATTAAGCAAAGAACTAAACGTAAACTCAACAAAAAAAAAAAAGATATATGACCAGTGACTATATTGAGTGGAGTTGCAAAGTTTCAACCGAATCAAGTAATTGGATAATGAGCCTTTTTTGTTGTGTTTATGTCACCCTTTGAGGCTATGATAATTATTGGCAAGATTGAGAATTCGATTCCAACGATGAATCTCGTGATGGCATTATTGTCTTGTTAAAATAATATTAGTTTCAATTATTGAAGCAAGACGTTGTTCAAAAGTTTTAATGTTAAACAAAAATGTAAAAGTCGGCCAAATGGACTTTAACCAGCTGAAAAGACCAAATAAACACATGCGACGTGTGTCTTTATAACCAAAAATAATAATTAAACTTTCTAATTATGAAACATGTGATATCATCATAACTCGTACGTTTCTTGTTAAGGCCTCCTTTTCTAGAGTGAACCGAGTCATAGTTTCTCCTAATCGTGGTACGTAGAACTGGTTTTATTTTAGTAGTCTTAAGAGATAATCAGAAATTATATAGATAGATATAAATAATAAATAATTGAAAAATGATGCATCACCGACATTTTTAAATAGGAAAGTGCAAAAAATCTCTTAATATCCTTTTTTATATAATTATCTGAAGCAGAACAAATCAATAATGAATGTAGAAACGTGGACATAAATAAACATCCGAAATGTGACAAAAAGAAGGATCCGGAAAAAATAAAATCTAATAACATAACAAAATGTCAAATGTGTACAAAATCTATAAACCAAAAAAATTACGAAAAAAATGTCCCTATTTTCGATTTGTATTTTTTCTTTTCCTTTTTGTCCTGTTTATTTCCAAAATGAATAATGCTAACAGTAACTATAGACGGAAGAATCTAATTCAGAGGAACAAATACGTTTCATAATAATCGCCATAATGTCAGGATGATTACTATTACCCCTTTGTATTATATCGTGATTCTTTATCGACGACGCCGCCGAGTTTCTCGTCCTCAACTCAGCGAGCGAACTCGCTTCCGCAACTGACTCGTTCGGCACAATCACTTCAAAGTTCGTAGTCATGTGAACATTCCCAACGAGTTGACTCAGCACCACCGATTCCGACACCGAGTTCTTCTTCTTGTGCTGCTGCATCGTCGCTCTCACGATCTCAGTGTGCATCGCGCTCGATAACCTCCTGATTCCTTTAGCTCCACCGATCAAAACCGCCGGGTTAATATCGGAGGCTTTCTTGTTGCTGTGTTTGGAGGAGGAGGAGAAGAAGAAGACTGATTCGGGGCTCCGATTACGAATCCGGGTTAACGGGTCACCGAGAAACAAGGAGGTCTTAGCGTCGACAAGCATAACGTGCTTGAAGTTGCGCCTGACTCGGCCGAGCAGCATTGGGTAACACGCCCATCTCCTCAAGCTCATCGGAACGTGATCCATGAACCCAGATAGCGAGTTTTCCGGGTCCAACTCGGTCACGTCGAAACCCACGATCGAGCCGTGAGTCAACTCGGCTGACTCGGTCACGTTCAACGACGAATCGTTCAGATAAGCTCGATGGCTCTTCTTCCCCCAAATAGGCTCAGAGATTTCCTTCTTCGATTGCTTCTTCATGAAGCGTGACAGATTGAATCCCCAGACCGAGTCGATTTGATCAGACGAATTCGAATTCCGGTGAGCATCGACGAGTTTCGAGAACGAGTCGTTCTCTTCCTCGATCAACCCAGCGAGCTTCGAAGCCGACGAAGGTGAACTGAATAGTAAAACGACGTCGGATCTGGAAGTGACTCCGGAGCGATGGAGCAACCGCATAAAGAGGCGGAGATCGTCCGTCGTTGTATCGGAAGCGATGTGAGCAACGATTAAATCGTGCATGCTCTTGGTTCCTCTCAGAAACAGAGTACCCATTCCCTGGAGAGCGAGTCGATTGAGACGACGACTAATACCTCGAGTTTCGGCGCGGACGATGTCGCGATTGAGGAGGAATCGACGGTGAGAACGGGGAGAAACGGCGGGAAAACCAGAGGAAGGTTCGAAGGTGGAGAGAGTGAAGAGGAAGAGGGTGAGGAAGAGGAGGAGGATGCAGATTGAGATCGTGGATTGGGCTTTGGAGAGGAGAAGACGGGAGGATCTGGAGCGGAAGAGAGTCGTCGTTGCTGGAGAAGAAGAAGAAGGAGACGGAGAGGGAGAGGGAGAGTCGTTGTTGCTGTTGTCGACGGCGGAAATGGTTCTGGAGGAGTTGTAGTGGTCTGGGAAGAAGACTAAGAGCAAACCCATTCCTCTTCCGCTATGAGTGTTCTTCGTCTCTTTCGCTGATATCAAACCCATATTCTCTCTCTCTCTCTCTCTCTCTCTCTCTCTCTCTCTCTCTCTGAGTTCCTCTGGTTAGTGGTGACGAGAGGCTGAGACGCAGAGAGCATTCGCTTCTTTTTTTTGGCTTTCTTCTCGAATTTGGCTTTTTATTTATTTTTGCATCCAAATTATTTAATGTGTCCCTTATTCAAGAAATGGTTGGCCGGGTCGGGTCAGATACTCCTACTTTTAGCAAAATAATTTGGGTAAGATTGATTAATCAAGGGTATGTTAATGGTTAACGACCAAATGTTGCCGAGTTTTAAGTTTAACACAATTATAGGAATAAAAAGGCATGACAAATAATTGGATATTGTTTTAACTAATTTCAAGCAATGTACATTAAGTGTTTATGGTTATATTGGTATGATAAGTTTCATTAGCTATGAATACGACCACATGTTTATTGCCAACTAAAAAATTACTCATATCGGACAGAGTTTTTCCATGATAAATTAAGTGCATCGAGCCTTGAAAAAGAGTCTCTACTGGTATGCAATTATTTAGTACCGATTAACTTTGATTAAAATGATACTAAAGAGTGTGCCTAACATTCTTAAAAAAACAATGTTTGACCGTTCTCACTGCATCTGAGGTATTGAAAAGTTTAGGCGCATGTAAATAATTGCTTTGACCGACTAACCATAACATAACACGTTTTCTGAAGCGGTTTATACACGGAGTAATTGTTATTTATGGGATGTGGTATACATACGTGCTTTCCGAGTAAAAATCGGTTCTCATCAATTTTTTCGACCTACATTTAGCTTGTTTTATTATGAGTGCACAGTTATAGTGCAGTTACTAATTGAAGCCAAAATACATGCAATTAAATGGTGATTGTGATATGGGAACCAACATCCATTTATTAACAAAAATAAAATGAAATGAAAAAAAATCCTAGTTCTTTTAGCTAAGAAACAAACTAGGCAATCAAATCTAAATTAGCAGTATTAAAATAGATTGGGAGTGTAATCATCCTATAAAAAGCCAAAAATGGCAAAATACAAGAAATAAAATGTCAGATACGTGGATGAAGGCAGTTATTGGTACTCTCTATAGTATGGGCCCGCTTTCATTAAATCTGCCCCCTTGATTACAGCGAGGATCCGTGATCGGACGGTAGGGACACGAGGAAGGGTCGCAATGAATAAAATGGGTCGTAAATCGTAATGGAGGAGTATTATTTATATTATTATTATTTTGGTAATGTGGAGTATTATTTTTTTATTAAATGTATAAAAAATCAAGGTGGGGCCTATAAGATGGCGATTTGACTTTTGTTTGAGACTCTGTGAGAACAAGTGTGTGTGTGTGGTTCTTGAATGTTGACGGTGGATAAATCTCTATTCTCACTCTCTTTGGAACCTTCTCATGAAGCTCCTGCACACGTGGCGTTTCTTTTTCTGCAGGTTTCTCGTTTTACGTTGGGACTTGTGCTTATTTTTGTTTTAATTATTGTATTTCGTCATTTAGACTCATTACAAAAATTTGTGTCGACTACGGACTACCATTTTGTTTTCCGAAGTGTTTAAGTAAATCAACAATTCTTTTACTCAGAGCGATTTTCCGGTAAAATAATACTCCAATAACTGCACCACCGAACTTTTACATCTAAAGATTCTAAACAATTTTATTGCCTCACTCTAAAAGATACTAACTGGCGACAAAAATAAACTTGTACTTGCTGACGACGAAAAAGCAAATTGTACTTGTTGCCGGTTGTCAACGCTCTGGTGATTACTGTCTGTAAATATAATGAATAAGAATATTTATTGGATGGGTCTGAGCAGCCTGTCTAGCCCTATTTCTAAACCACGTAGCCGTCGGTGGCCTTAAATGCTGCCGGAGACATTTGAAGGTCAATCTATTTTTAAACCCCAAAACCTAAAACAGAAAGAAAGCACAGAATGCCCAATTATATAATTGGGCCTTAAACTTTAGACGTCGAGATGTTGGCGTGTTCTGTTTCTTGACTTTACTGTAAATTTGATAGTAAATTGTTGGAGAATGTAAATCCATCACAAGTGTGGTGTGATGCTGTGTTGAGAACTTTGATAAGAAAGTCTAATGTTACTGGTTAATTAAATCCCTTCTTGAATCAAGGAAAAATGTTGATCTAAAACCATTAAAAATCAAGTTCTTCTACTTTGAGAACAGCAGGAAACAAGGAGCGCATACACAAAATAACCCTAAACACAAGATTTTAGAAGAAGAATTTGATTCCTATCATCAATCAGAAGCCACTTGACTCCCAGAGTTATCGCAGAGCAATTCAATCTTCGGCTTCTTTCTCTTTGAATACCCTGACGATGACAACCTACAAAAGACAACAAAACCCACAAGTTATTTGAATGCTAAGAAAACAGAAAGAAAGCTTGTAACAGAAGCTAGGGCTTTTTTTTTGTTTCCAGCTTACCCCAATTGCAAGGAAGTGTCGGAATGGTGATCATCATTGTCATTATCATCATCATCGTCTGATGAAGAGCTCTCGGCATCGGCTCGTGGGCTGGAAAATTGAGGTCTTTCACTCAATCCTTTTGGTCCTGATGAGCCTCTCCCCAACATCTCTATCTGAGAGCCAAAATTCAGATTCAGCTCGGTTACGAATGGCAAAAACCAGAACACAACCAATTTTCAAGAGTTTGATGAACCTTTACCTGTTTGCGCAAGATTTGGTTTTCTTCCAGTGCTCTCTTCTCCTAATAACCATAAGCAAATCAAATTTAGGATCTTGAAATCTAACATCATCTATGAATTGATCATCTTTTAAGAGCTCTCTGTTCTTACCTGTGCCCTGGATCTTTCTACCTGGTTGAGCAGCATTTTCGTCTGAATCAACAAAACAAAGTATTGTAAAGTCAGGAGCATGAATCAAACAAAGTTACTTCAATCTTTGGAAACAAATTAGTTCTTTGTATTCACCTTTTGATCCTTGACACTATGCAAGCTATCATTCAACTGGTTCTCAAGAGAAATAAGATCAGAGAAACTCATGCCGTCAAGCTCCTTACCCTTCAGTCTCCTGCTCAGCAAACAAATAGTAAACAAACCAAATTGAAAGACCAAAACTTTACAGAAGTTTCGTCCCAGAGAGATAACATACTCAATTGCGAGCTGTAATCTCTGGAGTTCGCTCTTCATAGTATCATCTTTCCTCATCTGCAACAGCAGAATCAAAAACTGAGCAAGAAAAAGGGAGACGGAGGTTCTCTTTGGTTTATAGATATGCTTGTGAAGAAGAACATACCACAGCATCATTGTCTTGTGAAGAACAAAGTAGAAGCTGCTGCTCTCTTTGTTTATGCTCAGCCGTTGAAGCACTGTAACCATATCTGTTGAGGATTTGCTCCATACTTCACAAATCAAAACAATACCTCGCTGTTAGCTAAACCCCCTTTAATTGGGTTTGATCACTACAAACGAATCAACAACTCTTCTATGGCCTGATAATCTTAAAATTACAGATCTTTCCGATTTCTTAAGTTGAGATTCTAACAACTGATCCCAAAGAAGTACCCAATTGCACAGTTGATTAAACAGTTAGGTTAACTCACAACTATCCGATTGCAAAATCAAAGATTAGAGAGAGCATAACTCTTGATTCCTCCCTTTAACCAAAACCCACAACAAATATTTAACAATCAACCCTAAGATTTTGCCAGATTAGCAAAAGAAAAATCGTTACTTTGCTCTGTTTTCAATCGCTTTTAGACACGAAAACCCAGAAAGTAAAGTACTTTATCGCAAAATCAACCAAAACAAAATGAGGAGATATAAAAAGATTTTGATTACCAGCCGCTGGAGAAATCGTAGATTTTGCCGGTGCTGGAGAAAATGATGAGAGCAACCTCAGCGTCGCAGAGAATCGAGAGCTCTTTGGCCTTCTTCATCAGACCGTTTCGTCTCTTGGAGAAAGTGACTTGACGACTGTTGACATTCTCAATCTTCTTAATCTCAATCCTTCCTCTCCCCATAATTCTCCTCTGAGCAACCAACAACAATCTGGGCTCCGTAAAATCAAAAACAGAGAGATAGATATACAGAGGAAGTAGTAGCCTTTGTATATATATATAGAGAGCGTGAGACGAGATGAGATTTGTATACTGTATATAGGAGTTTGGGGGTTTTCTTTAGAAATTGATCAAATATGACAATTGGGAAAGGGGCTAATGAAGGAAAATCAGACCAAAATTAGGGTATTGCATAAAAAGATGGAGTTACTATAAGTAGCAATTTTCCATATTTGGTGGCTTTGCTAATTTGCTTGCTTGGTGTGAGTGGCTGTTTTCTTCTTTTGGAACTTCTTCCCTTTTATAACGCCTTCCTTGGTTTGGCTTCTCTTCTCCTATTGTGTATTCGCTTTCTTCTTTTTTATTGTTTGTTTCTTCAATGTTTCTAGGGTTTTGTTTTTTTGTTTTCTTTTAGGTCATGCTTTTATTACGCTTCTAAAACTAAATCTACCAAACAAATTAAAGTTTATTGGTTTACCAAAATGAAATTTGTATTTTACAAAGAAAAGTTGACCGTGTGTTTCACGATAGAATTAGAATATTTAGAGCGTATATTGGAAATAATATCTAATCAACTGTTTTAGTCATAGTCAACAGCACACTCAATTACCTTTATCAAAAAGAAAATTGGCAATCTAATTCATATTCAACACTCGAATTTGTATACATTATATAGTGCTTATCTTTAAATACTTTTTATACCATGTATATCTAACATTTCGTAGTTAATTAATCCTCCTCGTATACTTGAAAGATTTATGTTTTTTTTTGCTATTTCTTTGTTCTTTCTTGTACTTTTTATATCAAGTTTTTAAGACCTCTTTCTGAAAAAAAAAGTCTTTGAAAATAGCCAACGTGACTTTATTGGAGAAGAATATGATAAGAAAAGCAAAAGGCTGTGGCTTTAACGCTTCTATAGATAGCAAAATCTCACAAAGAGGATTGATTTTCCTTCCCAACCAGAATTTGTGATATTTATAGGAAAATAATATTTCCCTTTCTAAGAAGACTTTCTATTGTAACCGAAATTGCATTTAGGATTTATCCAAACGAGATGTAAAATCTTGTTATAAAAAGCTAACAAAATAGTTATCACATACCTAATCAAATAACAATAAGAAATAGTTCAATAATCCGAATTTCATAATTTTCAATAGTATAATTTTCAAATTGTTAATTGGAGAACACACATACCAAATATGATAGAACTATGATTTGTAATTTTTTTCTTTGCGATATCCATATTCAGCAATGTCATTAATATCAAAATTGTTTATTAAATTTCTGTGTTTCTTTTGTAAATTGAACTAATTGTTTTATTTGTTATATGATATTTGTTTTCCCAAGCTTCCTTTTACATATCATCCGTGTTACTCCAAGTTTAAACATTTACCATAGTTTTAAACTTATTTTAGTTGAATGTTTCATTCGTTAGATTTATTTGGGAATTCTTGCCAAGTTTTCTTGGTTGCTGTCCGAATATGGAGTCCTTATGCTATGATAATGTAGTGACATTCAAGATTTTTATTTCAAGGAAACACTTCAATTTTCTTTTGGTTTATATTATCAAAAATTTGGTTCCTTTAAA